TCATAAATAACCAAGACAGAAATCAGGAGGGCCTGAACAGGATTGAGACATCAGGTAGGAACAGAGCCAACTGGCTGATTAGATTGGACGGAGAGAGAAACATTAAGCAAGTAGGTAGTGGTGTCATTTACTGAGTGGGCATGATTACAGGAAATGTATTTTGAAGAAAACGTCAAGAGTTCTATTTGGTCTTTTTGTTTGAGCTGCTATTTGAATATTCAAGTAAGGCTATAAGTAGGACTGAAACTCATGAGAGAGTGGGGCTGGAGACACAGATTGGGGAATCACAGGCCATCATGGAGACAGATAAGATACATTATGGAAGAAGACAACCAAAGGCCAAGATGTAGGTACTACAACATTTACAAATTGAGCAGACAGAAGGCACAAAAAAGGAGTCTGAGAGGGACTGGCTAGCGAGTAGGCAGAAAGCCAGAGAATGTGGTGATAGCAGCCAAGAGAGGATGGTTTTTCAAAGGTCAGGGATCCTGATGCCACTGAAGGATGGAGAAGCACAAAGACAGATACATGAGTGACCACTACATTTCCCACCATGGATGTTGCCAGTAGCCTTGACAAAATGGTTTCCACCAGCTTGGGGGAGAGAAAGCTGACTAAAGTAGATTTGACGGGGAAAAAAAAAAACAGAATGTGGAAGGGTGAAGACTTTGACCAAGTGCTAAAAAGGGAACAGAGAAAGGAGATGGCAGTTGAGAATAGTGAGACAGCAGAGGAAAGCTTTTTATCCTAAGGTGGGAGCTAGAACTGTTTTGTAGGCTGGAAGAGGATGATGCAGTAGAGAAGGAAGGGCTGATGACACAGAGAAGGAAGACAACTCAGAGCTGAATCCTTGAGAAGGTGAGAAGGGACATGATCCTTTAGGTGCAGCTTGGACACATTATTTATASTAACAGGATTGAGACTATATTTATATGTGTGTGTGTGTGTGAGTGTGTGTATACATATACACAGACACACATACAGACACACTTTGGTTGGTGCATTTAGTGGAAGGAAAAGAAGAAGGTCCCGCCTAGATTGCTTATATTTTCTCATGAACCACAATCTTCCATTAAAAGGATAATGGAAAATGAAGTTTGAAGACAGTTGAGAAGATATAAAAGAACCCATATTTTGTAGTCCTACAACCCCCAAATATCAAATTGATATGCCTGATAAAAGAAATAGTCARTGTTATTGTGAGAATATGATAATAGTTTCTCAAATGACATCTTTCTATCAGCAAACCATATCAGCTTGGACAGGGACCTCCCTAATTATCTAAGCCGCCAAATAGCAAATAGCTCATTTATATTCCAAAGTCATAGAGGGACTGGTCAAAATATTTGTTTGCCAAAGCACACATTTTATCTCTTTGTGAGTGTGTACCCTGCTTGCTACTATTATTACATTATAACTAAAATGTATTGAAATACTCCATGTGCCAAGCACTGATAGGTTCTTTACATATGTTGTTCTTCAGTACTTTCAGCAACTAAATGAGCAGTTTACATCATTATTATCCCAGCTTTATAAATGATGAAGTTGAAGTTTACACAGCTAAATTATATCAATATTAGAGATCGTGAAATTGACCATGAGATGAGAAAGACAGAGAGTCAGCAATTACTAATCAGGCCATGTAGTTATGAATGGAGTTGCGTAAATAGGTGTAAAACCATATCCTAGTGAGGTATTCATGCTTATAAACAGTTTTTTTTTCATATAGGGAAAAATCTATAAAACCAAAACAAAAATATAATGATTGATACACATAAATGATCTGCTATAGAAAGTTAAAGTACTCAGACAGAAAGTCTAGTTGAGGCCAGGCACAGTGGTGCACACCTGTAATCGTAGCCATTTGGGAGGCTAAGGCAGGAGGGTCACAAGTTCACGGGCAGCTTCAGCAACTTAATGAGGCCCTAAGCAATTTAGCAAGACCCTATCTCAAAATAAAAAATTAAAAAGGCTGGAAATGTAGCTCAGTGGTAAATCGCCCCTGGTTCAAACATCAGTTCAAAAAAAAAAAAAAAAGAGAGAGAGAGAGAAAGAAGAATAGAAGTAAAGAAAGTCTAGTTGAAAAATGGACTTTTAGAAAGCTCTCTTCACAAAACCAGCAGGTAAAATGTTTATCAGCTGTTTTTTTGCAGCTGGTGGCAGAGTTGGTGAGCGGGCAGTAACTTGCCAGTAACTTTCAGTGCAAATATTTCCACCATAGAGTTCAAGCTATCAATGTGACATCAAACAGGTCACCAAAATTCTTGAAAATTTACAACTTGGCTCTTGTGAGACGCACACCTGTGGAAGCAGCTCAGGTGAATCCTGACACTACCAGCTCTCATGTGTCCTACAGTATATCTAACAAGGATAACTTTGGGGTTGTGGAACTTTGATTGGTCTGAGATTATAGCCCCCCTACTCCATGGACCAAGTGAACGAAATAAAATAAAAGGGAACCCCAGGCAAGAACTATACTGAATCTCATGTATGGTCAGAGTGAGGAATAGGCAGGATAGGCAATCTTATTTCAGCCCTTGTATTTTGTTTGGACTTTCTCTTTTTTYCCAAAGCATTGAAAAGATTTCATGAATAAGACATAATCAGATACCACAACAAACAAAAATTCCATACAGAGATGTCACATTGGTAGCTTGAACTCTATGGTGGAGTCTCAGAGTGGTCGCTTCCTGAGTTTCAATGTGTTTGTATGATTCCAGGCCTATGGTCTTAAACAGTAGTTACATAGCTAACATACCCCCAAGCAAGTACGTGAGAAGCTGATGTGGATTTATTGGATCATATAAGTGATTGAACTTCCTCTTTGAAAAAAAATTCATGTATAGAGATTCAGCTCTCTGCCATTTTAAACAAAGGATTCATTGACCTTCTAGTTTCAAGTTTAGGAATGGTAATACCAAAGTAGTGCTTTCATAGAGTCATGGGTGATTGTTATGTGAACTCTCAGAACTATATCTTTCCAGTTTCATTTGTGATTCATGTCAGAACAGGTATGGTTTGGATTCCAAGGTTGAAACAAGCCTCCAGGGCAGAATCAAGTTTTCTTTCAGACCTGTTTTCTGGATTTTTATTTTTTAAAGTCGGTGTTCCTAGTGTTATAGGAACACTGCAGTATTTTTGTTGCTCAAAGTAAAAATCTAGTCAATGGTATCAAAAATTGAGATTCTAGATAAATATCTCAAAGAAACAAGTGAAGTAGCAAAAAAGAGAAAAATCCTTCAAAACAGGAGAAGTAAACAACATGAGAGTTTGTGACTGAGAAAATTTATTCAGTCATTAGATATTTACTGAGTACCTATGAATTGCCACACATACTTCAGAATCTTTGAGTTTTCATCATTATCTCCAAAGGAGTCAGAACACTGCTCACCCCTCTCCTCCATATTCCATATGACTAATTTCCTCATCTTCAAATGTCCCCTTTCTGTTGAGTCCTACCTTGGCCTATTCTGYTTTCCTCCACCCCTGCCACTTGAGTTCCCCAAGTTTTTCCATATTACTGACAAACATCTTATTTTGACATTCTACATAAACAGATTACATATAACACACCAGGAAGCAACAGGTGTCATTGTAGCTGGAACAAAATGAGAAAGAACAGGAAATGAGGAGGATGACCTGAGAGACATAAGGGAGGTCTGGGATATCCATCATGAATCACATAGTAGGCTATTGTATGAATTCAGGACTTTTCTCTGAGGGACATGAGAAACCATATTTTATAGTAATCAGGGTAAGATTGGTGACCATCCTGGAGGTGCAGCAGTGGAAAAGTGATTGGATTCTGGATATGCTTTGAAGATTGAACAAGCAGGAATTCCTGGTGGATTGATACGAAATGTGTGTGTGTGTGTGTGTGTGTGTGTGTGTGTGCAATAGAGTCAGTTGTGAATCTGAGCATTGAATAGAATTGCCATCAACTGAGATGGGGAGGACTGTGGGTCGAGTAGGTTGTAGGGAAGGAATTTGGACAATTGGGAGCTTCAGTACTGGACATGTTTAGTATGAGACGTCTACTACATATCCGAGTAGCAGTTTAGATAAATCAATCTGGAAACCAAAAGTAGGGTCTGACATGGTGAAATACATTTGGATGTCATTAGCATATAGTTGATTTGAGATGGCATGAGGTCATCTAAGGAGGAAATATACAGAAGAGAGCCTGAGGACTGAGCTCTGAGCCACTTCAATATAAACCAGTTGGGAGAAGATAAAGAACCTACCAAGGAGATGGAGATGATGCATCTAGGGAAGAAAGAGGGAAACCAAGAGCATGGGGTCCTGGGAACCAGGTTAAGGAAGGACATAAGAAAGAGGACACGGCTGGCTCCATCAGTGCTGCCTTCAGTGCAATGAGGACTCAAAATTACCATTGGCTTTGGTATCATGGAGGTCATTGGTCACCATGACCACAGGCAAAGAGCATTGATAGGATAGTGGGTGTGGAAGTCCAACTAAGTTTGGCTTTCAGAAGAAATGGAGGAGACGAATTGGAGATTACAGTAATAGACAATTCCTTCAAGGAGTTTGTTCTGCAAAAGGGAATGAGGAAATGGGTGAAAGCTTTTCTAAGATGGGAGACAACAACAGAATGTCTTCAAATAAATTTTACATACTTAGCTCCACGCACACACACATCCCAATCTCAGCACTTTGATTATATTGTTTACAGGGCTCTATGTCAATAAATTCTGATAATAGATAAACTCTCCAGGACAGGGACTTTGTTTTATTCAACTTTATATACTAGCCCAAAGTATTCATTTCCTGTCAGCTATAACAAATTACCACCAGTTTCGTAGCTTAAACAACACAGGTCTGAAAGTGAGCTATCTAACAGGTCTCACTGGAATAAAGGTGTGGCAAAGTGCTCTTTTCMAGTTTCTAGAGGTTGCCCACATTCCTTGGTTCTATGTTCCTTCATCCGTCTTCAAAACCAGCATTGTTGCATCTCTGACCTTTTTTTTTTTTTTTCACAGCACATCCTCCTCTGACTCTGAACTCAGCTGGGAAGGATTCTCAGATTGTTAAGGAGACATATAATTAGACCAGGCCTACCCAGATTATGCAGGATCATCTCTCCATCTCAAGGTTTTTAATCCAATTGCATAGTCTATAAAGGCTCTTTTGTCATATAAGGTAATATATTTGCAGGTCCTTGGGATTAATGTGTGAACATCCGTGGGGGTCATTAATTCTTCTTATCACATTCAGTGACTGACATTTAGCTAGACAAATGTTTGGAATACCAACCCTCCACGTGTTTCCTTATGGTATCAATCTGACTGCATTCCCAGGGCTGAATTCCTTAAAATCTGTATCTATGACAGCAGAAACTGTCTCACTTTGGTTCCTCCCTGTATTCCCAGCACTCAGCAGAAGGCATGGAGTGGGTACACAATAAAGATTTATTGAATAGCTGAATGAAAAAATAAGTGAGTAAACCTATTCTTTCATGTGAGCTGCTATAGGAGAAATCTCTTTGGGGGCCTCAGCTGGTAATATCCAACCTCTTCAAGGGAAAGGGGCTCCCTCTTCATGGGCAGGGYCACTTTATCGTCCTTATCTTTTCTTCAATATTTGATTCTACCTTGAGCATATCCCTTCCCTTCAGTCCCTACTGAGCTTATGCCATCTGCTATATTAAGCCGTTAATGGCATTTCCATTAAAAGAMGGACAGATGTTTACTTTTTAAATTTATTTTAATATATAATATATACGGTACAAAAAAGTTTTAAGTACAAAAGCAAATTTATTGACAAGCAAGCTGGCCTTCCTGTTCCAGCCACCCTGTTTCCTTCCAGAGGCAACATCTTCCACCAGTTGATTTGTTTGTTTGTTTTTGTTTGGGGGGAGGGGCCTAATCTAACAGGAATATGCTGAATGTACACATTTGTTATATAAAACGAAAGCATCCTGAATAAAAAAAAAAAAAAAATCTGACTTTAATTTTTATTTAACAATCTCAATCTTTCCAACAGCTCTTAGTGTGCCATTAAGTAGAGATGCAGCAATTTATTAAACCCCCTGGTCCTCCTGCGACCTCTCTGACTTTCTCAGTCCTTCTCTGGATCCTTCCTTTACTGGTTTGCTAGGGCTGCTGGCCACACACTGTGGCTCACAAGGGGAATGTATTGTCCTGAGGTTCTGGAGGCCAGCAATCTCAAATAGGCTTCTTAAGTGGGAGGGTTTCAGGCCCCTGAGGCAGAGAGAATCTGACTGTCCTGGGTGCAAGAAAGCAGATGGAAGGAGCTGTAGTGTAGGTGTGGCACCTGGAAGACCAGATGTGTCACCAAACTAGAAGGCAGTGGAAGAAATTCAAATGCCTGAGAAGGGAAGCCCAAGGCAGCAGAAGGAAAACACATCCACGACTCTCCACAGCTGCCTCCACCCAACCTGTCCAGAAGCAGCTTGCCCCACTTCCCTAAGCACTTCCGCCACTCCTGCTGCAGGGTTTCCTCCCGGCTCCCACCCCTCAGGGCGACTGCACATTCCAGTGCCCTTGTTCACATCCTCCTGCTTCCAGAGAAGCTTTTAAAACCRTTGCCTACACCTTCTGTCCTGAGAACTTACCTGAGTTTGAGGTCCACTTACTGGTGCCTGCTACCTCTCTGGATAAGATTTCTTGGTCTTCTCTGAATTCCTTCTCTATTGGGTTGCTAGGGCTGCACGCCACACACTATGTAGCTTACGACAGTGGAAATGTACTGTCTCACAATTCTTGAGGCCAGAAATCTAAAATCAAGGTGTTGGTAGAGCCACACTATCCTGGCTGCTGTAGAATCCTTTCTTGCCTCTTGTCAGAGACTCTTGGTGATCGTGCCTTGCAGATGCGTAGCTCCAGTCTCTGCCTCCATCCTCACATGGTCACCTTCTCCCTGTGTGTCTCTACATGATTTTTTCCAAGCACGTCTTCTCCTCTTCTTATTAGGACACCAGTCTCACTGGGTTAAAGGCCCAACCTACTCCATCGTGACTTCAGTTTAACTAATTACATCTGCAGTTACCATATTTCCAAACCAGAGCACGTTCACAGGTTCCAGGGGTTAGAATGTGAACGTACCTTGCAGGGGGCACAATTTAAACTATGACACCATCCTATAAAACTGTTGTCTACAAAGTGGGGTGAGACACCTCTGAGAACAAGATAATCTTTTGGGAAAGAAGAAGAAAATATCAAAAGTTCTATTTCTACTTATTTTTTCCTTATAGGATAAGAAATTAAGCTTTCCTAACACTTCATATGTGCATTAATATGGTGACCTCTCTTGCATTCTGTTGTCAGAGCCCCACATCATGCCCYGAGAGAGTGGAAACTGAGGGACAGTGGACTCTCTCTTCAGGGCAGAGGGCTCATGGTGGTACCCAGCTTCATTGCCTCATACTGTAATTTATTTGCTTCAGGATATCAATAAAGTGGCTACTTTATGAACACAAGACTTTTAAATAGTAGACTCTTTATAAGACTTTGTACTGAGAAGAAGCATATCCATGAAAATACTTTAAAATCCGACTGAACTATGAAGTTACACTTTATTTTACAAAATTTTCTCATTTTTCTGGACTTTTTTTCTGATGACAAATTCCTTTGAGAAACACAAAATATTTGAATATATCCTTTCAAGATAAATGTTATATTTTAAGAATGAATGAGAAATACATTTTTTTCCAGAAGGTATTCATGCTGAGGAGAGCACACTGAAAAAGGACATTTGGAAATATTTCCATTGTTGAGATGAAATAACCTTGACTCTACCCAAAACTCTCATAGTCTTCCATTTCTGGCAATAAGGAAAATGAAATGACCTGAAAACCATACTTCTAAAAACAGATAAAGATGTTGAAAAGAATGATCATTTTTAATGTATAATGCAGTTTCTAAGGAAATAAGAGCAATTCCCAGGGATCATAAATGAAGAAAGGAATATAGCCCAGAGCTGATGGTGCGGTAGCTGCAGTAGGAGACTGAGGACAGGACTCACCACTTTGGGCCACAGGAGGCAGGGAGCTGAGTCTTTAGTGACAGGATGTCCTGGAAAATATCACCCACCAGCAAAGACACCCTTGGGGAAGTGTCTCAGGTCTTCAGGTGGGGAAAAAGGCCGTCTCCACTGAGTGTTTTTAACCTATGCCTAGTCTCACATCATTTGGGGATTTGAAAAGATGTTAAGATGTGGACTATGCATGACAAAGCCAAGACATTGTGTTAAAAACTGTTCTGAAGTCATTGACACCCTTGGCAGAAGCAAACTAAAACCAATCCAGAGAGCAACTCTCCCTCAAACTAGGTTTGGTATAATTCCTCCTCCTCCTCCTCCTCCTCCTTCTCCTCTTCCTCCTCCTCTTCTCCTTCTCCTTCTTCTTCTTCATTTATTTTGTTTTTAGCAGTTTTAGGTTCACTGCAAAACTAAGAGGAAGGTGCAGAGCTTTCCTATGTATTCTCTGATCCCACACATGCCTCACCTCTCCCACCCTCAACAACCCACCAGAGTGGTACACTTGTTACAATTGATGAAACCACATTGACACATCATAATCACCTAAGGGCATAATTGGCACTAGGGCTCCCTCTTGGCAGTGTACGTTCTGTGGGATACACACACACACACACACACACACACACACACACACACACACACATAATGGCACACAGTCCTCACTGTAATATCAGGCAGAGTAGCTTCCTCTGTGCTTTGCCTATTTATCTCTCCCCACCCTCTATCCCTCTGCCCCTAGCAACTGCTGATCTTTTTGCAGTTTCCATAGTTCTCTTTTCCGGATGGCCATGTAGCTGAAATCATGTAGTACATAGCCTTTTCTGATTGACTTCATTTACTTAGTAATATGTATTTAACTTTCTTTCGTGTCTTTCAATGGAGGATTCTTCTTGAGATAGTTTTTAAATAGGTAAATTATTTTCATGGCTAAAAACCAGTTTAAAGGCCATAGTCCTCCAGGTTTAGAGGCTGTGACGCATGGACTAGAGTGGAGATGGAAACCKGAGATTTTGAAGGTATAATCAATGGGCTTTGATGGCTGATTTAAATGTGGTGGAAGTAGATAAGGAAGACTTCATACTTTTCAACTCAATTGCCTGAGTGAATACTGTTGTTTTTTTAAATTTATTTTTCTTTTTACTGTATTATATTTTATTTATTTTTTTTTGTGATACTAGGGATAGAAGCCAGGCCTTGCACAYGCCAGGCAAGTACTCTGCCACTGAGCTGTTCACCCCAACCACACACCTCCCCCATGCTCCCAGCAACAGTGTTGCTTTTTTTCCACAAAGAAGGTATACAAGCAGGAAAACCAGTTTATGGGGTAAGAAAGTTTTGATTCCTTGTATGTTCAACTAGAGCTATTTGCAATGCTTCCACATCCAGCAGCCAGGAGGACAGGCAGGTCTGGAGCTGAAGATAAAAAGCTGATTGTTGTCAGTGTGTATAATGGTAATTTGAGCCATAGGAATGGCTAGGAAAGCTCAGGAAGTRGGCAGAGTGATATGAATCCTAGGACCGGAGAATGGGTGGAGAAACACAGGCCAGCAAAGAGTARAGAGGAAAATCAACAAACTCCAGGGACACAGAGGTCAAATGTCAGTAAATATTAAGTGCAAGTGCTGTTGACAGAAGTCGACAGCTACTTTCCTTCTAACTGTCACCCTTATTCAGCAAGGCYTCACCACACATTGAGAGTACTCCTGAGCCACACCTCTGACCAATCTTCATTTGTGAGAAAGCAAATAAAACCAACGTGCCCTGTGCAGCAAGTCTGTGTTTGCAGACTTGAGTGTAATTATTTGGGATATCTAATTGCTCTTCTTTCTGGGTATTTTAACATTTCAATTAAACAATGTGCAGAGCAGAAGTTGAATRTTACATCAGCAAATTTTCTGTCCTAGCAAATGCTCAATCCACTGATAGGAGAACCACAGGCTCATCCAAACGATGGAAAAGGTCTGTATAATTATGTTTTCTCCAAGGAGGTTTAAGGGATATGGTGGTTTCATAGGTCATGCTTTCTAATCTCTCTGACATCTATCCTCTGTGCATTACACAGCCATTGTTAACTGACCAGCTCAGTTTAAATTTAAGACTACCAAATTTGGGGCCAAGGAACCACTAGGTCTGTGTTCCTCATTCTGTAGCCACATCTTGGCCTGTTCGCTTCTCAATTTATATACAACTTCAGTCCAGTGCTCAACATTCTTTTCAAGCTTTATGACCATTGTATGTCTTGGCCATTTCAGCCTCTGGATCTTTGTCCTTCATATAAACACTTATCACATTTTCTCTGTCTCTCACCTGGTTTTTGATGATATGATACTTAGTTTAAGATTAACTTCTCACTTGATCATATTTCTCCTCTSCTCTGCTTTCTATGTGGTTTGTTCCCCAAAGATTCACATACTAGAAGCTTGGTGCCTGATGTGGTGGTATTGAGGTGGTRTACTCTTAAAGAGATGGGACCTCCTGGGAGGCAATTGAATCTTTTAGAGGGATTAATACTTGTTTGTAAGAGTGTTCCAACTTCTTTTCTCATTGCATTTACTGTCTGTCTGTTCAAGTCATGGTAGAATAAATTTCATAATCTCTCTTCTGCTRTAGAGTTTAACCATGAAATTTCATTAAGCATCATAAATTT